CTATATTTCAACTTCCTGATGCGTACGATATAGCTTAATTCTTTCCCACGGTGATGTTAAATAAGCACATTACACGACATTCTGTATGTATGACATCATCAATGACGTCATTCACTAAACCAACAAACGCTTATGATTTAATCCCGGGACTTGTATCGTTTGCATAAGCGAAGATATTTTGTTGTAATAAGCAATTTCGGTATAAAGATGTTTCATTAAAACATAAGTTTGAAATTGGGTTACAATAAATTGAGTATTTTTGAATTAGATTCATGTCCAGAGTGATAATGAGAAAAACCCATCTTTAAGAGTATAACTAGTGTCTTCATAAAACGAACACTCGATTTAAGAGAAGCAAGCAACGGAAATATGACTTTTCACTGTAAAAAAAACTCTTCATTCGGTCTTACTAACCTTCCAACCAAAGTTATCCTCTGTGACGTATGTCGCCTCCATAGTAACCACTTGCGATAGAGCACGAGGAATTCTCGTACGGTTTATTATTTTGCAATTTTTTTAATATTTGTGCTGCATGTCGGATACTAAATGTACTATCTTATATTTATATAAAGAGTGATCATAATTTGTTTTGCGCAAATTTATTTATTGCGAAGTATATATGAAAAAATCGGATATAAGTTTCCATTTCCTTATTTTATGTTCCTTATGGTGGACTAATCGGATCCCGTCTATTCGTTGAGGTATTCTTTTTTATAATAACTGGCAAAATTCAATCAGGACATGTGTGGAACAAGCATGAAAAGTGTGAGACAAATAGATCAAGTGTCGGAAAAGCGGACACGTTCAATTAAGACATACATTACAAATGCGGGATTATTAGGACATGTGTGGTAATAGTAGGACAAGTAGGAAAAAGTGTAGGGGAAATAATAGAAACATTCTAATCCTTTATCCCGAGACGTTTAAATTTGTTTGTTTTCCATTTTGATTTTGCTCTTTGTTAGAGATTAATGGCAAGAAAGACCGTAATAAGAAAAGCGAATGTCATTGCAAAATGTACGCTTTTATGTTTATGGTTTTTATTTTAATCTAAACATACACGATTATGGCAGTACATTACATTGGCAGTAAGTGCCGGTCAACGACAAACTTTAATTTAAAACAAATTTAAGTGAATTCCACATTATCCACATATCTGAAGAAAATGGGAAAACAAAACTTTATGTAGAAAAAAATGTGTTAAAAATTTGTTTGCGCATATCAACAGCGAAGCAACTCAACCGATTTCTTGTCTTTCACGAAATCTGTTTTCCCGTTGTCCACAAAGTCTGCCTAAACAACCGTCTGGAACCGTTTTACCTTATGAATCATATTTGTAGTGTTTGCACAGAGTCACGCCGTATTGTTGACTTGTCCACCCAACAATGTAATTCATCATTACCGTGTCTATTTTTATGTGCAACTTCACACCGTCGACAATAGCTATAATTTGTGTGGTTAAAAGATGTACAGCGTTTTATATGTCCTACACAAGCATAAATTATACAGGGAGTTAAAGTCTTAAAATATTTTATAATTGCAAAGGGAATTCAACGATACAATATATTGTTTTAGCCCTCACAGATGTATTAAATGAGGTAAACATACTTAAACAATTATTGATTGAAAACAAACAAAAATGGTCAAGATATATTGAAAACTGACTTCAATACCAAGCTGAAATTGTAAAGGAACTCCATGAACACTCTGTGTTTTGGAAAGACCAGAAAATTCCCGGTTTGGCATCAACTGCAAATTTTTTTACACCTTTGGTAATAGGTATGTAATTTTAAATCCGATATTTTTGAGTTATCAATATATTCAGTTCGTCAATATAGAAAAATACCTCCTAACACGTCAAAAAAAATTGAAGTTCCATTTCAAACAATGACGTCATCAAAAATACGTCATCATCCTACGTGCTCAATCACTTTCATGTCTTTTCAACCACTTAGCACATTTTATGATTCACACCATGTCCTGTTTATTGAATGAGTTGTAAGTATCGTAAGAGGCTCAATGTTGTTTGAATAAGACTTAGTTTTAAGCCGATATTGTTTGGTTTGGGATTGTTTTTAACTTAGAAATCACTGTTCGGTGTCAAATAGGATTAATTGAATCAGTGAAATGGAACCGGGGCACGTATGAGTAATTATAAAACGGGATTTGGGGGAAAATAACATATTAACATAACGCTATCCAGTTACAGGACATTGTTGGAAAATGATTGTCTACAAATATTTTCAGGGGTGGTTTTATATACCGCGTGTCTACACTCTGAACAAAGCTCAGTAAAAGATTTACTAATATTTGAGGAGATACTAAATAGGGTTTCCATAAAGTGTTAAATTTTTAAAAATTGCAAAAGGAGTAGTTTATTGATACCATATATTGTTTTGGCCCGCACAAATGTAATAAATTAAGTTGTAATATCTAGACAATGACTGATAAAAAACAACAACAAACTTAGTTAAGATATATTGAGAACTGACTTCGTAACAAAGTTGAAATTGTAAAGAAACTTTATGGACACCCTGTATTAATAGACACGGAATCTTTCCGGTTCGCTCGTGTCTTTGCTTTAAGTTAGGTCTCGTTTACTTCTGAACGAGTGCCCGGGAACTTGCTTTTAGTCAATACTTAAAAATGAATTACTGAATATGATATTTTAGATTCTGAGCATAATAACTTGAGTCTTTAAAAAATGTAGCTGATGGGATTAGTCAGTTGAAAGTCCATAAAACGAAAACTGACTTACTGAGTCTGACTTTACGGAATAAGATGTTTCAGCTTCTAATCACAATAACTTGAGTACCAATAAACCTTGCTTAAAGAATAAATCATTTGCTTAAAGAATAAATCATTACTGAGTCTGACTTTACGAAATAAGATGTTTCAGCTTCTAATCACAATAACTTGAGTACCAATAAACCTTGCATAAAGAATAAATCATTTGAAAATCCACGAAAGCGAAGAAATTTGAGCAAGTCTGAGGTAGTCCAGAAAAAACAATGGTTGGTGCTCAAATATGAGGGCACGAAGTGGTACAGGTATGCAATCTGTTACAGTAGCCTACCGGTACCGTATCGCACCTGAACAGCAGATTTGAACTTACGGAAAACAGGACCACCACAAGTATCGCAATTTTTAATTTTGATGTTGTCATCGCACACGAAAATAAATTCCATAAAGCCAACCGATATTAATAAAAATATAAAAAATTAATATCCTTCTTCTAGCGAAAAATGAAAATTTTCCCCACTGAAAATTTCAAGGCAATTGGTCCAGCAATTTTTTTTTCACAAGAAGAAGAAGAAAAGAAATATTAAGATTATAACCACAAATAACAAAACGACCCATACGTCCATTTTGTGTCCAGTATTAGCTTTATAGGTGTTTGCGATCGTAAATCCACTTCATGTTTTATAAAGCAATTACACTATGAAGTTAGAAACCTTTTTTTTTATTTATTTCCCAATTCTTACGTCATAGTCTTGTCTCGTTCCGCTCCATTAAGTCAATTAATCTCAATTGACAAGGAACAACAAAAACTTCCAAGAAATATTCCATGAGCAAACAAACTTACTTAGGAGAAATGACGCCTGGGAATGACGTAATCGGTGAAAAATTTGGTTGGATCATATGTAAATCTTCCCCTCCCCAAACAAATTTTTCGGGGTCTTTATTTATTTATTATTAATATTATTTTTTTTGGGGGGAGGGGGGGGGGGGTTATGGTATTGTGAGTTGGTCTTCTTTGTATCGTTTTTCACTTGATGGACGCGACAAGTGGCACTAGTTTGGCAAGCGTGTCCTTGATGTATTCAAAACACTTGTCTCTAACCATTCACAGGAAGTTCTAAATGCATTATTCCAAACACATAAATTCGATTTAGCTAGAATCGCTAAGATTTTACTGAGTGTTTTTGGTGATTTTTGTATGTTTTAACTTGATAAATGACAAATACTGATCAATGTGTTTGCAAAATGAAAGTGTTTGTTTTGTATTGCACTGTTTACCTATTCTTGGCACTATTGTGACCAGCGAACAATGCAAAAATAATTTTGTGACCAGCGGATCCGTCAACCTTGGACCACCCTGATTATAGAAGATCGCGTATCAGCACTGAAAGCACCGACTTTTTTGCAACAATTTTATAAAACGATTTATATGTAGCGATTTATATTGGCTCGGCGATGAGGCGCAGCGTAGTAGGCGTAAGGAATAAGCTCGCGACATCATCTCTGATTACCCTGCATGGGTTTGCAGGTTCGAATCTCGTGGGAAAGAGAAAATGCCCAATGCTCAAGATATTCTAAATGAACGTTTTGAATTATATTCCTTGGTCACCGACACAACTTGCCAACATATCAAGCAATCATTGTGGTATTTTCCCTCCCACATCCAGTTAAAAATCTGTTTGAGTTCGTCATCTTTCCTTTCAAACTCGTGTTTACAAAATAACTTAAAATTATCCGCAGATTGATTGATTACCAAATGTGACGTACAGGAGGTTAATTCCCAAATTTTCTGACATATAGGCAGCATTTAGCCAGGGGGTGGTTTTGCGGGTTGAATCCCCCCCCCCCTTTTTTTTTAAAAAAAAAATAAAATCATTTTTCTGTATCATAGATAGCAATTTTCAGTAGCTTGAAATGCTTTTTAGACCACAAGACTAATAAAAACACGCGTATTCCAGAGTTCGATCGGACCCGCTAGCAGTTTTGATCTAACTTGGCAAAAAAAAAAATTCATAACCCCCCTCCCCCCCATTTAAAAATTTCTGGCTACGGCCCTGCTGGTTGTAAGGCTGGTTGGAAAACAACACCTGGTATGAATTATACTGTTATGCCATAACATTAAAACTTAGTTATCACAAATGCGACGCGGGCCACAGATAATGACGCCGCGGGCCTGGGTTTGGATCACCCTGTTTTCTATACCAAAGCATTGCTCTCTAGTCTTATCCCTGTTTTTTTTTAAGTATGAAACAAAAAGATCTTCTTGTTGTAACTTCAATATATTGAAACTTTCAGTAAAGTAACAACTGGAGCTGGGCATTTTGAATCGAATAGTAAATCATTCGAATCGAGTTAGACAAAATTTCGAATCGCGCGGCCAACCTGTTTTTTTTGTCTGCCAAAGGTCGAAAAAAATTATTTGATTCGATTCTGAAATCATCATACGGTATTCAAAAATGCCCAGCTCTGGTAACAACAAAAAATCAATTTAATGTTAATTAGCACACAATGCAATCACTGAATTTGTTTTGTTAGAATTAAAATAAGATCCAAGTAAAAATTTGAGTGACAAAAAAAAATATTCTGAAAACGTAGAATATGATAATTGGTCGGACCTGGTCGAAAGGGGCCAGGAGAAATGCGGGGCAGAACTTATTTTGGAATGTAAATAAAACATTTCTTTGTTAATTTAAACTTTTTTTTAACCACTCAAGACTTTTGAACTCACGTTTTCGGCCTCTGGTCGTACGCGCTACCTCTAAAATACCAATATCTTTAAAATATTGTAACATTAAGAATCTTAAACATTTGCCATCGAAAATTTGTTTCTAAAAACAAACTATAGGCCGAGGCTGGAAATATTTGAATGTTTATTCCAAGGGTGGCCCATCCCGCCGAAATAGTCCAGTCACGTAATATAACAGTTCTGGTCAGTCGACCAGTTTGGGAAAAGTCGAATTTCGAAAAAAATTGAAGTGTGCAACAAACGATAAAGAAAACATACAAAATACAGAACATACAATGCAATATTTAGTTTCTGAAAGTTGAAAATAATATGAAAGCTTGTTGTGCAGAAGCCAAAAGTGGCCGAAAATACAAAACTGAACGATAGATTGGTTCGGTGATGCCACTAATCAACTTCGGACGAAAATGAAAGCGATTAATGTGGAGTAAATACCTTTTTTGGACCTCCAGAAGTATGCGCACCAAGATGACGCACAACCTGAACATAGTATGTATGTACCGGTTAGAATTTAGGTTGTGCGAAATTTTGGTGCGCATACTTCTGGAGCACTCCATTTTTATTTCTTTTGCACCGAATTCTGTACTGAAACTGCATTGAATTTGAACAAACGATTATTTTTTTTGGACGAAAATGCTCAAATTGAATTTTAAGTCAGATTATAACCAGTTTTATCTAGTTTGGGCTGCAATGATGTCAATATTGAATATTTTGACAAAATGAAGTTAGTTCCAATTTTGCGTCGTCCATATAACCTAGGACCGACTGTCATGGGAAATAGGATTTCTAAATATTTGTAAACATATATAGAATGGCTGTGCCTTGGTATTATGAAGAGTATAGATAATCAAACCGAAACAGCAAAGAATTGGATAAGGTAACAAATTTGAGAGGACGTTTCGGACCAAAGTAACGATTTCGGACCGGTGTTAAATAACAACCAGCAATGCTGACAAGATAGACTATATTTTAGTCGCAACAATTTCGGACAAAATGTTCATTTCAGACACTTGTTTAAAACTCCAGGTTGCAAAACGTTTTTCTTTAGACTCATTACATAAAAATATCAAAAAAATATCAAAAAAACGCAAATTACAGAATTCAAACTTTTTCTATTATCAAACTTTCACGTTTTCATTTTCTGTATTAGGATGCGTTCTTGAAGTAATGTTAGCCTTGTGTTATGATGACATGATACGAACACGTCATTTGTAATTCGTAACGTCATCATTGAAGTGATAGACGAGAAATGATAAGCACACAAACAATCCAAGACCAGCTTAGTATGTTTGAGATAGCGATCCTTGCCGAGCCAGAATCTGTAAACGGAGAATAACAATAATAAAATCTGCCCAAAAGTTGTCTTACGTAACCGACCCGGTCACGCGGTTACGTTACGGCGACGAAGAGTCTGGCAATCCTCTCGCTTATATTCGTCCCCCATGAGATTCGAACCTGCGAACCCTCGATAGGTAATCGGAGATGACAGGGCAAGATGTTCCATTTTTAATTGGAAATGAAATTCTCGTATGTAAGTGCGGATGTAATGTAATCTGGGATGACAAGAACATTTCCGGTACGACATTGCCTACCCACTTTATTACACCCTGGGGTGAATGGAGTTTGAACAGAGATTTCAAGTTGTGATGCAATGGTATTAAGTCTTTGATGTCAAATGGAGTATCTAGACCAGGGTATGGCAACCATGGCCATGGGCGCCGTTTGGAAAGCAGCGCAAGGCAAAAGAACAAAAAGCCTTTTCGTAAAATCTATCAGTTTCAATAAAATAATTTCAAATTGAAAATAATTGAAACTCGTATTTTTACCTAAATAAAAACGTACAAGCATCTTAATTTAACAACAGTCGGTAAAAATGTTCCAGTCAACGATCAAAGGGGCAAATTTTAAAATTATGCCATGGGCGCCATTATGGGTAGATAAATTTTTTCGCCAACCAGAAAAAACGAGCATTGCAATGATAATAAAAATATACAACAACATAAGCCAAGTTTTTGGTATAGACTGGAAGGGAAGGAAAACGGCCATATGGCCATCAGAGTTAGCTTCCTTCAAAAGTTTCAGTTGTGAGGTTACCACAGTCAACTCTAACAATTTTACAACACGGCCAACGCGTCGTTTTACTCTAAAATATAGTCTTACCGATGCAAATCTTCTGAGTGCTGGTCTCCCTAGATGAGTGATAAGTCAGGTCATTGCCGTTCACGCTACCTCCCCATGCATACAGAAAAAACCTACAAGTGTCCAGCCCAAGATCATTATCGTCCTGAAAACAAAAAAAAGATGTGCATGGAGTCAATATTTTGTACTATACGGTTTGATTATGAGAAAATGTGTTGATGATTGAAATATGAGGTTTTCTTGTCGTACAAAAAATTGTTAATACATAAAAAAAATCGCAAAGAATTGAAAATAGGTATGAAAATATATATTGCAATTCTGCAATGAAAAAAATGTTGATAAAATATGTCAATAGGTTATTCAAGACTACTGTATTATAAAAATAACGATAACGATTATATTTTTTTTATTGGGAACCGATCACAGGACGCCATTTCCACCGCCTTGACGTTTATAGATACAACCTAGAAATTCTGTGATTATACCAAATATCATTCCCGACATCGGGATTAGGAAAGGGGTTTAAATCTCGAGATCGCAAATCCAGTTTGAATAGCTAAAAAATTGTTTTGCCAATAAATACAAATATCCACCAATATCTAGTGTAAGCTAATTTTGTTTTGCGGGCCGCACGGAATGTGTCCGATCACAGGATCACAGGACGCTATTTCCACCGCCTTGGCTCTTATAGATACAACTTTGAAATTCTGTGATTATACCAAATATTATTCCCGACATCGGGATTAGGAAAGGGGTTTAAATCTCGAGATCGCAAACCCAGTTTGACTGGCTAAAAAATTGTTTTGCCAATAAATAAAAATATCTGCCAATATCTGGTGTAAGCTAATTTTGTTTTGCGGGCCGCACGGAATGTGTCTGCGGACGCTCCGGAATATGTGATACAAAAAAATACAAACACCCGCAACAAAGAATCACTCCGACGTGGCGGTGGAACGTGAAGCACAGCCTTTTTTGTACAGTGAATCAACTTACCGTAGATTTTAGAGGTCTAGTGAATTCAACCGTCATTTGACCATTATTGTAGCTTCCCCCAACAACGGATGTAGAGGGGGTTCCACCGTCAAGGGCGACACCTGCTGGAGTCCTGGCGGTAATATATCTATCGGTTACTGTTGGCGGGTTCGACGCGTTATCCATCCATACTACGACAGCGTCCGTGTTGACCTGAATAAAAATTTAAAAATCAAATACTTAGCTTAATCAGTACAGTACCGAGTTTATTGCATGAACTTTTCCACTTTGGGAGAATTATTGTAAAAACAACGGTATGAAAATTCATGATTCTAAGCACTACATTAAATTAATATGGAAGAGGAAATATCATTTTCAAGTTTTGGCATTTTGTATGTAGAAAATTTGGTACTCTCGTTGTGTGTGTACCAGTTTAGGGTTAGGCCATAATTTTATTCTGATTTTCCCTATTTTAGTTCTATGACGAGTTCGGGGACGGCCTGTGTTAGCCAAGTGCCCATAGGTTTCCGTCTCTTTATACAACTTGATGTTAAGTAGGCGAACCAAATTAGGTACCTCTATGTTAGTACACACACTTCTGGCAACTGTAGAATAAAGAATACAAGAGAGCTTCATTTTCCCATGTCTCGGCGGTACTCAACACGTTTTAGTCGTCAGAAAACCATTAGCCGCCAATTGTTGCAAAGTACTAATGCGTTAAAGGGACCGGATTTAATCGACCGGATATTTAAAGTATCAACTAGAAGTAATCGACTCCAAACACCGAAAATCGAGTAACCATGGCAACTGCAGCATAGATAACACAGGCAAGCTTCATATTTACATTGCTCAGCAATACTTACCATGGCCTGGTCGTCAGAAAATCCAATAGCTGCCCACTGTTGCAGGGCCACCTTTGCTGTTATAGTGAATTGCACCATTCCTGTGCTCTTTCTGTATCTCCAACGTGCGACATAATTGCAATTTTCCGTGCAATCTCTTGGGGAAGAGTGTGTGCCTTCACTTGCTTCTTCGGTGGAGTTAGGATCATCTGTTACGGGATAGAAATAGAAAAAAAAGATTTAGTAAATGCAATGATGACATAGGTAAAATTTTGAAGTTGGAATACAAGTAAATATTTGATAACCGTGGCACCTTGAATAATGATCAGAGTCGGTCATAGCTGTTATGGGGCCCTATGCAAATTGAATTGCAAGGGGCCTAGGGACATCGGGACTATGCTGTGAGGAAAATTGCTACCATACGCTTTATTATGAGTTTTCTTTCTATTTTTGAGTGGATGGATAGGCGGGGACCTTGCGTAATTCCAGTCTATTTACGTACTGCTCTTTGCACATCACTTATCGGTTATAACTTATTTATCTTTTAATAATCTTGCCGATTGGTTTTGAATTTTAAATTTAGGCACATAGTTTAGATCTAGCACCAACAACGTAGTCAGCCCGAAATTGGGAAACGGAAAATTTTCGTTGGTATAATGACGTAATAAGACGCCTACTCGTGCCTTCTGCTTCAAACAAGGCTAGATAAAAGAAGCCACCGTCACATAACGATCTTCTTACAGACTTACTCCACTGTATCTAAGATATACAAGCGCGCATTTTTACCTAAATCGGTTGCTTTATTTGATGGGAGGATTATTTATAGCAAGCCAGGAAAGACCTCACCCCCCCCCCCCCTCCTCCCCCTCGCTAAGTTGAACGCTCAGGACCTGCTTTGATAAATCCCACAATATATGTATAAAGAATAACTTACCATAAACATTGATGGTTCTGGATCCTCTCTGGGAGTCTTTGGTGCCGTGGTATTTCAGTTCGTTGATCCTAGATATCAAGTAAAGCAAAGATGACTATTTTGGATTATTAAGTCCGAGAAAGACATGGGTTCGAATCCCAACCAAGTTGTCAAAAATATGGTCATAATTTAAATATTCATTGAAATGTTCTATAATGGGATATTATACCCAGACAAAATCAACCTAATGTCCTTTAAAAGACTTGTAATTGGGTCTTTTGTATTTTATTTGTTTGTATATTATTTGTACTTGTTTCAGAATTTTCTAGTTAGCATTTTCATGAAAAGAATTTTCTAGACAGCTTTTTATAGAGACCTGCGGTCCTCAACATTTTATGGCTTGTTGCCCTATCCCGAAGGGTTATAACACTCACGGTCCCCTTTTTATCATTCCAGTGATATTTACAGTGTTATTAGGTTTAGTTGATTCTATATCCTGTTATGTTCAAAGAATTCATGCTTAACAGAGAGAAAACATCAAGCTATGGAATTAGGAAGAACTGGGAGTTTCCCTGTAAAGTTAAAAGTAAAATTAGTTTTCGCCTAGCGTTAGGGCCCCCTCCAAATGCTTTGTGGCCCTTTCGGCCTCTGGTTTCGCCTCTGGCCTCGCCCATACCTGCTTTACCAGCTAGTATATCCCGCACCGCCCTGTTCATCTCCCATTCATACTTACTTGTAATAATCATAGTTGGACGCTTGGCATCTTTCAAGTCCTCCGATTGGCCAGTGGTAGAATCTATTCGGGTCTTGTCCTCTTGCCCAAATGAAGGTTGCTGGTCCGTCCGGAATGGTGTGATCGGCCTGGTCTGAGCTGTAAAGCTTCCTACAAAAGCAAAGAGCATGTTGGGTAAAAAAAGTGTTGAGAGATTGTATTTCAAATTGCCTATCTTTTATTCCCTTTTCCTTCAAACATTTTAATGACGTTACAATTCTATTATTACGTCATTTGTTGAATGTGACGTCATCATTTATGGCGTCATGTTTTCAACTTATTTCTCCTACGCTTTTACACACAATCCTACGCTTTTACACACAATCCTACGCTTTTACACACAATTTGACAAAATCACAGGCGGATGTGTCGCACTGCCAATCTTTCGTTTCCTTTTCTTTCAAATAATTTAATGACGTTACAATTCTATTAATACGACTTTGGATTATTACGTCATAATTCATGACGTCATGTTTTCAGCTTATTGCGCTTCTACCACGCTTTTACATACGATCCAACAAATCACAGGCGGACCTTCAGAAGAGTAAATTCACGTATAAAAAGAATGAAAATAACAAATTTACCTTCTAAAGGCTGCATGCAACATTCCATCAACGTGCGAGGCCGCTGCAGCAGTCAAATCATCCGTTCCGCCAAAGAACGAGTCGGGTCTAGGAGTTGATCTGTCTCTGGTGTAAGAGTCAAGAATGCGATGTCGGTTACCTTCAGCCGAAACTGAAAAATTTAATTTAGTAACTATTAGAGCAGTAGTAGTCCAGACGTCTTTATTTCCCTCCGACAGTAAAACCGGCGGGAAAAGACCAGAACTGTAAATCCAATTCAAAGAGTCATGCTGCACGCTTACACAAATGTCTTGCTGTAACGTTTCGTCTGACAAAAATCAGACTTCCTTAGACAAGTAGTTTACAATTATGACAAGAAATGAACAATCATACGGATTCACTAGCATAAACACTTGATAGACTTTTGAAGTGATTAGATTTAATCTCATGGAGCATAAAATACTAATCCAACAGTTTATGTTTAAAGAGACGCTCACATGGTTAAAAATAAATAATGAATTTTTAGTCTATTTTGCTGTGTTGCAACGTAGTACGGATCCCTTAGCATAAAGGCATAGAGGAAGGATGGGGAACTAGTCTCGCGTAATTTCCACCATAAAAACCCAAATGCCAAAAATATTTCAGAGTCTCTGAGATATTCACAAAGTTTGAGGGTGAATGTGCTAGTAGAGTATAAAAGTGTTAGAATACTGCGCAACAATTTTAACTGCTTCAAGTCTAGCGCCAATTCGTGTTTACCAATACGTAATTCACCCATATAAGCTAAGTATCTCACGGCGTTTCAGAGAGTAATTTTATTCAGAGATCAATCAAGAAGCCACTGCTATGTTTTCGAACAAGGCCTCATTAAATATAGATTGAAACCATATATAGGGCAGTTCAAGTCGGCACGGTCTGGGAAACAGTTCATATGACACACATTTCAAATGCGAACCAAACTCAGCCACGAGTACCAACACGGGCAACCTTGGTACGAAGAACACGTCATGGCGTCTCTCAATCCGATATTCAACAACGTCCTATCAAATATAAACTGAAGACATATGACAGTTCAAGTAAGCACGATAAGGAAAAAGGTTTACCATAAACAAAACCCACAAACAACAAAGAGGTTAAAGTTTACTAGTAGGTAGCAACTAGTAAAATTACAAGTTCAAATTAAAAATTAACTCACGAAAGACCATATCCTGGCAGTCCATAGCATGCAAAGCAGCAGAATTTCCCTCTGGCTGACCTTCCGGGCCTCCTTCCGGAGTTCCTTCCGGGGTACCTTCCGGTGTGCCCTCGGGAGCACCTTCTGGCGCGGCAGTGGTTCCAGGAGCGGGCTCTCCTTCTCCTTCGGGTGCGGGGGTGCCTTCTGGAGTACCTTCTGGTTCCGGCACTGGAGCTGAGGTGCAAATTTAAGATGATGAATATGAAGTTCTTGGGAGGCATGTAAGACTTAGATATTTGGGGTCCAAATGAATGCCGCCTTCTAATAGTTTATACACAGAATATACACCGAAAAATGAATATCAATTTATAGTGCGTACCAGCATAAGGCATATGACAGTCGTTTTCAACCTTTTTTGGTGTTGCGGAATCCTTATAAAACATTTCAAGAGACAGGAGCAACTCCTGTTCAATAATTTAATTGTTCGAATTGTACAAAAAACTATAAATATATAAAAGCAAACCTAATTCTGGCAAAATAAATGATTTTTAAAGTTTTGCAAGTTTTATAATAGTGACAAGTCTAATAGGCATTCGATTATATTTTAACAATATACACACACAAATATACATATATATGATCTCAGGTTTGAATGTAATTTTCGAGTTGAAGTAATTCTTTGTACGCAATCATGGGCGTAATCACGGGGAGGGTTGGAGCATCAATTTAGAAATGTAAAAAGGACACCTTCCGTACTATACATAGTAATTTTTAGTAGCTTGAAAACGTTTTTAGGCCCTTTACACCAGGGGGGCAACTTCTCTAGTAAACGGGCCAGATGTGGGAAAATAAAGTTCTCGGCGGGCCGGATTATAACATGAATAGTATTCAATATCTTAATCACATATTTAGTCGCTAATGCAAGAGAGAAGATTATGAATCGCGTTTGAAGTAAAGTTTAAACTATAAAAAAATAGGAACCAAAAACACATAATGAATTTATCGTAACGTACTAAAAGTGTAATAATGTAATATCATAATGTCCTGATGTACAGTCAGCGGGCCGGTCAAAATCTAGTCGGGTCTGGCCCGCGGGCCGTATGCTTCCCACCCCTGATCAAGACTCTCAAAACCCCATGTTTACCGGAATCAATGGTTAATTACAATACGAGAGGTAAATTCCATGAATTATCTTGGTAGTTTGTCTGGTTAGTTGTCATAGTAATATATTGATTACTTAGGAGACTAGAGCGTAACTAAGTTGTTATTGAAGGGTAAAGACTCTCTTGCCCTTGCATTACCCAGAGCGCAAGTTTTTTTTTTTTGAGATTATTATACAAAACAAGTCTCTTTTCAGACATAAATAATAAATTATGCAAAAAACTGTATAGCTACTTAAAGAAAAACAAAAATAAAAATATTCAAAAAATAAATTCTAAACGAGGCCTGAAAATTTGAATGCAAATATACCTCCTGGATCAGAGTTGTAATTGCTGTTGGCCCAAGCGATCGCTTCTGAGACATTTCCAGCGAGGCAGAGTTGCTTGATCATGTTTACCTTTAGATGATATGGAAGAGTGGTTATGAAGTGACAAGCTCGATGATTGGATAAAATTAGGGAAGTGGGGTCAAAATAAGTTACACGAAGATTTCACGGGTTCAAAGTCAATGAATAAGTTAGATTGGATGAACTTAAGGAAGTGGGGTCAAAAAAGTTGAACTTTATTTCAGTTCTTGATCAACAGCCAATTAAAATAACATACAAAGATAAAATAAAAAAGTGGGTTAAAATAGTTTACATTTCAATTTATTTCCCGACTCAAAACCAATCAAAGACATTATTTAGTTCCTGACTCAGAGCCAATTAAAAATTCGATCATTGATGACAATACTTACCTCAGTTTCCCTTTTGACTCTTCTCAACGATCGACGTTTCCGAGCTGTATAAATAATACTAAGATCTTAATAATCAGTGGTTTGTAATATTTTTGTTGGAGCGGAACAACATTAAAATATTTCAGAGGCTTGAGTACCCCTGTGGGGCCTCCTGAAGTATGCGCACCAAGATGGCGCACAACCTGAACTCAGGTTGTGTACCGGGTTGGGGTTCAGGTAGTGCGACATCTTGGTGCGGATATTTCAGGAGTACCCCTGTGCAATAGGTTACTTGTAGAACTGTAAGAAGAATTGTACAAACCTAATATATACATAATAAGGAACCTAAGTTTGGCTAAACAACTAATTAACTGGCTAATTGTTTTAGATGCATGGTCTTTATGATGGAAGAAGCCTTAATAGATCAGCGGGATACGTAAACCACCCTAGGGCGGCGAGAAGTCCAGCAATCCTCTCGCACATAATTATCTCCCGTTGAATTCGAACCTGCGAACACACGCAGAGCAATCAAAGGTGCGACGTCGAGCGTATTTCTGAGGCTTGGCACGATGCGCCACACCACCGAATCACATCATTTGAAGCCACATTTTTCGTTTACAAGAACTTTTACAGTTTTGCAGTGGGCAATGGTCTATTTGAAGGTTATCATTTTAAAATATGGTACATCTTAATTGTATTTATGACATCTAGACAAATGTTGATAAATTCAGCCAATTCCGCTTTTAAAAGCGCTTCAAGACAGTTTGAATAAATATTTCTTATAGTTCCGGGCTTTACTTCCGGGTTCGTAACGTTCAAATATCCTGAAGTTAAATAACTGTACATATTCGTGATAGAGCCTTACCAGCAGCCGCCGTTGTAGGTTCCGGTGTTGTTTCCGGTTCGGAGGCCGGTTCAGGAGTTGTTTCCGGTTCTGCTGTGCCCTCGGGAGTTCCTTCCGGAGTGCCGGTTGGCGTTCCACTGGTTACAGGAAAACTCTGAAAAAAGGAGCGCATTAGAGCATTGTCGGGATTTTTTTTAAAATGAGCCGTGAGCAGTGGTTCTTAAGCGATTAGGAGCAACGGAACTCCAATATAACACCTTAATCCATGTGCAATAAATAGTTCAGTTGACATTTATTGTCCTAACTATAAACATGCATGTAATAAAAAACAATACTATTACTGGCAAAACAACATGATCTTTAGAGAGCAAGTGTAGCTAGTTTAATGAGAGCGTCAAACCCAATGGGTGTTTGATTAAATTAAAACAATATACATATGATAATGTAGACTATCGGATTCAGATGTAATTTCGGTGGCCTTTTTATAATATATATATGTATATATATATATATATGTATAGTTTATAGTCGGCGTTGTGGCACATCGTGCTAAGCGTTGGGTCCCCACGGCACATCTTATTCCCCTGCGTGGGTTCGCATGTTCAAATTTCATACTGGGTTTATAATGTGCGAGGGGATTGCTGTGCTCTTTGCAGCCGTAGGGGGGGTTCATCCACCATGAAGTCAATGCACCTAAAACAATTAACTGTCTAACTAATCCCATACCCGATATGGACTGGTAACAAGATGAGATGCAGTGGTTCGCCATATCATTAAGCTGTCCACCCCAATAAACATGTGAATCATATCGTATCATATCATTTAATTCAACATCTGATGAAAACAAATCGAGTCTTACCCTGCATGTTCCAGTTACAGTGTTTGGTCTCCATCCTAAAGCGACCCAGGTCTTCGTCTTCACTTGCAGAACAACTTCGATCTCGTCCTTATTGGTCCCCAAGAGCTTCCAGTACATGCTGATATAAAAAAGAAAATGTTTACTATCTCTCTGAACAAGTCCATGTACAAGCAATCAATGGTGTCCTGCAACCTGCGGCACGCGGGCCAAATGAGGCCCACAAGAAAAAAGGTTATTTTATGGGGGTTTTGAAATTTCTAATTTCCAAGTTAAACCGAAAGAGCTAACGGGCCGGCCAGGGGCAAGAAAACGTGGATTTTTGAAGAGTCTTTGGGCGCTAAATAGCGTTAAATCTATCCAAAATTGCTACGCATGATACAATTTTTTTTCCAAATTTCGAATAAGGGGAATTGATGAAAATCTCGTCAAAATCAGTTTAGCAGAAAATCCGCGAGATGGCGCAATTTGATCAAAATAACCAAAATCTGGGAAGGTAAATTAAGGGACTCAGAACAGAATAGAAATTGAGGCCCATAGAATAAAAAAAAAATAGAATGATATAAAATTTCTAATTGGCAAGTTGGTCCATAACAGCTAGCAGGTTTGTGTATTGAGGGTCCAAAATGCGTTTCAACCTGCGATAAAACATGTTTTTACTAGCTTCGTAAGCAAGGGCTGCAATTTTTAATTTCCATATTAAACCGTAACAGCTAGCTAGTTCGGATTGGAAAACTTGGATTTATAGAGGGTCATCAGGGTCTAAAAATCGTTTCAATCTACGAAAAATTTCTACGTGTGATACAGAAAAATGTTTTTTTTGACGTTCCAAAAGGAGGCGGGATTCCTATTCCAACGCCTGGCAACGTTCCTGGCAAAATGTAATGGAGATACTAATTGAAAGAACAAAATTTTGTTTGGTTTGTCAATGCTTACCCAAATCATGTATTACACTCTGAGTGTTGTGGTAACATCTGGATAACGCTGTTGGTGCCATAGGAGAATGGTAATTAAGGTGCAAATTTCATGTTACTAAAAGCTCGTTAAAATTGGTTTGGCTTGAAATCGCGAGATGGCGCAATCCATTTATAAGAATCACAATTGGGGGTTCCTTTGGGGTCTTTTAGTAAACACAGAAAGTCGATAAACCAGAAAGAAAATGTCCAAAATATAAGCAACAGTTTCCACTGTAAATTTTATTTAGAAATGATAGATTCAACACTTTAAAAGATTTTTACGGTTTTTGCACGTTTTTGTGAGGTTTTTGGTGTTGTTTTCGAAGCACTTGCTACATTAAATCTCGAATATCTGGGTTAAATCCTAAGGCTATATATAATTTGAATTATCACTCTGGGCAAGGCTGAGAGTATGCTAAGAGGATGTTCACAAAAGTTTTGTTGTCATATAAATATGAGTCGTTTATTGATCAAACAATTTGTCAGAATCAGTTTAGCAGAAAATCCGCGAGATGGCGCAACTTGTTTAAAATTAGGGTTACTAATGCCAGAACATGGGAAAAAAATATTTTAGTGCTGAAAATGTGAAAGCACTCGATCCAGTAGAAATTGATAAATGTCAGTTTTATTCTTACAATAACAAGGAATAAACAGAACTATTTCTAAATCCGCTCTGTCTTAAATTTTCACTAAGATTCTCGCCGTGTATTTTTAAGGATTTTGACGGTCTAAAATGCGTTTCAAGATACGAAAAATTGTTAGGTATGGTAAAGGAAAACACTTTTTCCCGTCTTTTCAAATGAAGAAGTTGCGACCTCCATCTGGGTATGTCCTAAAGGGTGACCGTACATTTAAACCCACGTACATTTGAACCCATGTGTATATCCACGGGTTCAATCTATATGCGGGTGCTAAAACCCATGGGTTAGGGTTAGTATGGGTTTAACTATCCGTGAAACAAAAAAAATTCCATAGGTGCAATAGCATACAGGTGCAATTGTCATGGGTTCAAATGTACGTGGGTTCAAATGTAATGGAACCGTCCTAAAGATTTTGTTTAAAATTTTGTTTGGAGATGATGCGTAAAAACGTCGCATAAGAAAGCCCGATCTTAGTTAGGGCAATTAAGTTAACATTTAATGACAGCGTCAGCTCACCTGAACTCTGGATTTCCATACAACTCAGATTTGTAATATCCCGTCAACTCTTCAGCTGTTTTCACTGCGTTTGTTACAGGAGAATCTGAAAATTTAAAAAAAAATGTTGTAAATTTAGTAAATTTGCTTGTAGCAAAGGTCATACACAACACATACCACACGATAGTCTAGCTCGGGGGTTCCCAAACCAGGGGTCGCGACCCCAAATTGGGTCGGAGTGATAAGTAGGTAGGGTCGCAAACAGGTCATGGGGTCGCTGAGGTATGGTAGAGGATGGATACACAAATCATCTAAGATTTGATAAACCATGTTAAATTTAGCAGTTTGTACCATGGCTTACTGTAAAACAGGCCCATAAGCATCGCTCTATGCTTATGCTATAGAAAATGTAGGTGCTTCTTGTGACATCACTGTTTGGTTTTAGCTTATTTTACTTAATACCACCACATGACCAAACTCAAAAATCCAGTGAAAGAAGCTCTAAAGTTTCATGAAAAATATATTAATTGATATGGGGTCGCACTGGACACTTAAAAGTTGTCCTTGGGGTCGTCCTGGATAAAGCTTGGGAACCCCTGGTCTAGCTGTTGGACTAGCTGTTGTAAATAAACCGTTTTTATTCATAATTTTTCACATCAAACTAGAATATTGCATTAAAAAAGTGGTTTTTCTAGATTATTATTAGCCATTGACATTAGTGTGAATGTAAGTTTGATAGGAAGGACGCCAAATGGCTTTTTCAATGCTAAAGGTTAACGACTTGTGATGTGTAGAAAACGGTTGGTAAGCACTGGACTATTATATTAACAAAAAATTCGATACAATGAGAAGTGCCCATCCTTCACAGGCTATTATGACGTATTGGTCACTACTAACGGTCAACAATAACAACAAAAAACATCTGCGCATACCTCTGGTACAACAAATATGCGCGCTCAAGAGGTACTTAAACATCATTGTATGTGGACAAAAGAGATTGATACCACTTATAATAAAATGCTCATAAATTTGTGACGTCATGGATAATTCCTATTTAAATTTGAGTTCGATTGCAACTTTAATATTTCGATAATTGAAATCCTTATTGTTTATTTTTAATTTGGGAGGGTGAAAGGTAGTTACGTCATCAAAATCGTGACGTAATGAATTACTTTCAACTTTGTATGTTTTGCGGTTACATTATAGATGAGATATCTATTTAGCCAGTGATTCGAACTGCAAGGTTTGCATTTAGAAATAAATATAAAATCGGTACTAAAATCGGTACTAAATATAAAATCGGTACTATCCGTTATCACCCCACCACTAATTTCTGTTATGCTTGCACACTGCACTATAGATAATGCCATTTTGTACTATATTTCGACGCTACTTCATCAATAATATGGCAGTCCATAGCATGCAAAGCAGCAAAACTTTCCTCAGGTTGACCTTTCGGTCAATATAGTCAATATAGTCAATCTCTTCACGGGCTCCAAAACACCAAAATTTTGAAAAACCCTTGGCTAAGACATCGCGACGCCCTTTGGACACTTATCGATTAACACTTGGCATAAAAATAATGGCTGAAATATGCTAAGTCATTCTTGGTGTGAATATTGTCATATATTACAATTCGTTATATTTGGATAAGTATTCATGACTAAATTATCCCACGGTTAATGTAACCATGGTTACTGCTTTGCTTACAATCCTTCACATGTTTTATGACGTTACAATCCGTGTAATCTCATCGCGTTGTTACATAACAATATGCGATAATCCCTCTCGGCTGACCAGCAAATTTTGTTTTATAGTTATTAATCTGATCTTACATGGGTCCACAAAAATTGAGAAAATAATAGTTTGTCGAATTGCTATTTTACTATTAAACATATTCAGTAAAATTTATCATATTTTAAGTGTTATCATGTTATTGCGTCACAAAGGTGTAGCAAATAAATTTAATCAAAAGAGGTTTCTAAAAGTTCTGATCGCCATGTTATACTTTAACAGCAAGCGGGTCCGGTCAAAAAAAATGGGGTTTCAAAAGTCTTCACGGTCGAAAATGCGTTTGAAGCTACGAAAAATTGCTATGCATGATGAGGAAATTTTTTTTTACATTTGCGCAGAGCCTTATTAACGGAGGGCGGGAATCATCGTAGTATATAAAGTGTGACTAGCATATTTTAAACAATATTTTCAAGCTAACATGGTTCTATCATTTAAATTTATTCCCAAGATTCTTATTTAGACTTGGATTTAGGCCGAATCCATGTTATTTGAACGGGTTTAGGGGTGTCCGGGAATTCATGAGGCGGCACCCAGGCTACCCCTATAGACAAGAACACGCCTTACCTTTGCTGCAGTATCGTCCCATTTTGCCAGCGTTACAATAGCAGACTTTGGTCGGATAATACGTGGATTGGATATCGTAGCAAACTCCGTTACTATTGCAATCTGTATCATCGTCACAGTCGTTTTTGTACTCACATCTGTATGAGAGTAAAGCGGTTGTTACCATTTTTTTTGTATGTGGGATTGGCACCCAATGCATCATTTATCTTATACTAGTATTGCTACCGGGAAAAGTTATTGCTCGCGATTTTTCGTTCGGGAGGTGAACTCGATTGGGTTTAGTGGCATGGCTAAGAATTTTCAACGAGTGGTTATGAAATTTCTAATTACCTGGTTTGACCGTAACAGCCAGCGGATTCGGTCGGAGACCGGAAACGTGGATTTTAAAAGGCCTTTAGGGTCTAAAAAGCATTTAAAGCTACCAAAAATTGATATGTATGATACAAGAAATGCTATTCTACATTTCAACGTGGGTACCTCACTCACGTTGGTAACTCCCGAGTTTGGAAACTCTGTTTAAAACCATCAATCCTTGTATTTACTTAATTGCTTTACAAAAAGCAGAGCTATTTATTCATGAACAAAATGAAATTTCATATGCCGTCTGTATGTGAATTTCTGATTAAATAAATAGGCCTCTATCAAGTTGAAACTATACTATATCAAACAATCATGTTTTTGATTACACATACGTGTTAATTCTCCTTACTATATATATATATACAGGGTGTCAGAAAAATGATTTCGCCCGAATTTATAGTAATAACAATCGTAAGTTTCAATAAATTTTATTGTATGATAAATGAAAAATACAAGCCAAATGAAAACTATAAATGAAAAAATGAATTTTTTTTTTTAACTTTCATCACTATAGAATCGAGCGAAATTTTTTGTACATCCTGTATATACGTTCGTGTTTTCATTTCCTGATGATGTTTGTCTATTTCAAGACTCAAAATTCATTTTATGTCGATAAATTTTTATAAAATGATTTCACAGTACCTGTCACCTGTGTAGGTTTTGACGCACTGGCAGGTCCCGTCGCTGCATGTTCCTCCATTCAAGCATTTTCCGTCGTAGCAATCAGACCCTGCATAGCGAGAAAAAAGAAATATAATTGTGTGATAGCGCTTCTTATTATTAAGGTGAGTGTAAATACGAATAGGCGGTTGGAGGCCTAGCAATGGCTAGAGAGTTAGCCCCAAGACATCGGTTCTCAACCAGGGGGCCATGGCTCAATGCTTGGTCACAGAACCAGTTTTGTGGGCCAAGAATCTAATAAAAATTGCAAAAGTTATTGATAAATTTAGTTTCATTTGTGACATTATAGTTAGATTTTGATTGTAGTTGCAATAAATGATGCTGATGTTGATAGTGGTAATTTTCGTTCTAATTATTTAAGTTAAAGTGTCTAAAGTGTCTATATTTTACGGGAAGAAATATTTGTTTTTCTTGTAGTTTTACCGTGACATGGCAAAGTTGATGGGTCACGGGATTTATGCGCAGTAAAAATGAGCCACGACAGAAAAAAGGTTGAGAATCATTGGCCTATGCGTTAGCCTCTTAGGTATCAATGAGTGCTTATTTGAAGACTTGCTCAGAGCGTAAGGTATGAACACGTTCAACAAAAACAACGATAAATACCGTACATAAAAGACCAAATAAAAAAAGTCGTTTGGCATCTACTCACTCACCTGTGGAGCGGTTATGGTATAATAACTTCACACAGGAATATCAATATATACCTAGGCCGATTAGAGAGAAAAAACTCAAGAAAAAAATCTTTGAAAATCAACCCCTCACCTGGTGCCATTATTTTCACATCAGCGCAGCTCCAAAAGAGATATCCATCTGCCCCAGCAGTCCATTCACCTGCTTGCCGAGTTATTCTTAGGATACAGTGATCGCAAACATGATCTGCCCCAAACGTGAGATCATGATAAAGTCTCCTGCAAGAAAAAGTAAATTATATTTTGAATGTTCACGTAGATAAATCTCTAGCCCCATATTTCCAAACTACGGGGAGGGGGGATACCCCTCCTTATTGTCGTCATTGGCGAAGAATTATTTATTTTCTATAGTATTGGTGTATGATATTTTGAGTGTATGTGATCAGATCTTTAGCCTCACATTTTCCAGACCTTGAGGGGCGGGATATTCCTCTTTATTGTCGTTATTGGTGAGCAATTATCTATTTGCGATAGTATTGAATATGATATTAATGAATCTCTAGTCCGCAAGTTCTCAACAAGTGAGTCATGGACCAATACCGGACCACAGAAACTTTTTGAGATGGGCAACAGTCCTAAATCAAAATTGCTAGTTTTATTTGTGTTATTATAATTAATTTTGATTGTAGTAGCAATGAATGAAAATGCTGTTTTCTGCAACATAGTGGGAATATTAATTTCAACCAATAAAGTGGAAAATTCCATTTTTGCGTGGAATTTTTTTTGCTTGTAGTTTTTCCCCAAAATAGGTTAATGGGCCAGAAGAATTTTTGTGCAACGAAAATGGGCCACGTACAAAAAAGATAGAGATTTGTGTGCCGACCCATAGGTTGGGAAACACTGTTCTAAATCATACTCCAAGGGAATTGAATCTTAGGCATGAAATGTCATTTCCGCATGCCTGGTGGCAAATTTGGTGATCTTTGACATTTGACCTTTTAGGTCACTGCTGCTACCCGGAAGTCCGCGCTCGTTTGAGCTCCCATTATTAAACAATTGTAAATGAAAGTTTATATTAATAATTTAACTAACGTTGAATCATTGGTGTATTGGTATCCGTCACCAGTCAAGCTTGCCGTAACTTCGCCGGATGTAGCGTTCAGAAGCTCAAATCTGATTCCGCCCTAAAAATATAATTATACATACATTAAATTAAAATGCGGAGGATTGAATATGGCTTTTCTGAGTGATCCAAGAGCTTTTCTGCCAAGAATATTGTATATTTGAATATTCTTTTAAAAGAGCATATGTCTTAACATTTGAAATGATTCCTCATTCGCTTTGCCACGTCTACCAATGTCAATATGAAATTGTGATAAAGATTACTGTGAGAACATCTCGCTTCCATGACCTCAAGGCATTGGGGGTAAATTTTGCAAGCGAGATCGTGCATGATCAAAGTGGCCATTGACTACATAGAAGATTGAAAGAAGCACACTCCTTGCACACTTAATGGGTATTATACTCTAACTGTGAGAGACCGTCTAGCACTGAGGTGCACAACACACTCCGTATTCTCGAACGTGGGGTACGAACGGTTTGGTTAAAAGTAACTCAGTATTTATAATCATAATAACTGACGTTCATACCGAAAAAAAATTTAAATTGTCATGTTAAACTCCAGTATTTATAATCATAATAACTGACGTTCATACCGAAAAAAAATTTAAATTGTCATGTTTATTCGCACATTGGTAGCTTGTGGTCGCATCAGTTACAATGTGTTTTACGGAAGTTCGTTTACAATACCTACAATTATTCGAACGTGGCAAGTGACAAGATTATTTTAAAAACTTCGCGTATCGTCATTTCAGTTGTGCCCCCCTGGTATAGACAATTATCTTTTAATATTTCACTCACAGCGGACTGAAATAGGCATTCTACATTCTACTTTTCTAAGCATAATTGAAAGAAAAGATTGTGAATTCAAACTTTGACGACTAGGCAACCAGACACACTAAAGGTCCGACCGTTTTAACACTGATTGCAAACCAAAGAAATGAAAATGGAAAGTTTTCTTCTAATATTTACCAAGGGGCATATAAGAGTTTAAAGGTTGAAACACTAGGAATGAAAGAAAGTCTGTTTACCATATGTGGATAAGCGACGTGCCATGTAGCTCTGACTGTTTTTCCTGTTTCCAGTGTCGTAATCGGCATTCCATCTGTAGAAATTTAAACAAATAGAAGTTAGAAATAATTTTGTGAATATGAATTTGTTCTTGCCACTTTGTTCAGGAACGAGACTCTTAGACGAAAGGAAAATGGTGATCAGATTGCCTTGAAAGTTAAAATTGTGACGAAAATAATGTCTTGGAGTGCATAAGTGACTGCTGGCACAGTGGCTAGCTCTGATTTAAGGTGTCACTACCCCTTAAACAGAGCCCTGCAAACGCTTAAAATAGGAAAATTACTTATTATCCAGTTGGGGTCAGGAATACAGAATATGATGGAAATTCAAATTTTCAAATATTTCCTAATCCCACCATATTTTCAACTTGATAATTACTAATTCCTTAATCCAAAGCATGGCGGGAGTGTTTTTCTCAAATCTCAAATTTTTGCCTAAGTGGCGGGATTTGTAAAAAAGATCCGAAAACAAATAAATATACTATTTCCATATCTATGTATTTACTAGTAACTATTCTAGGGCCTTCTTCGGAGCGACGGCGTATCAATTGCCGCCTGGTGTTGTTATGGTTCGATACCATCTTCTACTGATATATACCTGTAAATGTCATTCCACTGCACGGAGCCGGAGTTCTGACGTTATCCAGGAAGTCCAATGCAAACTTTCTGGCCGGGGGAAAGGTCATCTGCAAATGTCCATGCACGGTAGTCGCTAGACATAACATCTGTAAATATTTATGTAAGAGATGTGAATTCAAATAAATGGGATTGCTAAGTTTGTTAGCGCGATGGGCCAAAATTATATTCAGGTAATAACCGTTACTCTATACCGGTGGTTTCCAAAGTTGATTGATCGGAGTCAAAATAAAAAGCGGAATGTTATTCGCGTACCAGGAGAGTGGAGCGCCTGCAAGGTGCCGATACCGGTACCGGTACGCATAATTAAGATACCGGTATCAATGAATTGTTGTGATAAAACATGTGTTTAAACTATGATAATGCCGTAACAATTGGCTGTACTTAGAACGCAAAACGATAAACACACAAAGTGATAAACTAATTCACCAAGTTCGCGGGCCATATTTAATCGTTACGCGAGCCGTAATTGGCCCGCGGGCCGCGGTTTGGGAACCACTGCTCAATACTATTAGTGAATGATTATATACTCATACTACTCTTTTTGGCCTCGTGTCCTTATATTTGAGAATTGATCTCTTTTTAATATAGAACTTGGGATTGTAAAAACTGAAATACTTATATATATGCGCATAACAACATAGCGTTAACATATTCCATAGTTTTCACTAGATAAATGTGTTTTATTGAATTAAGGGTTTCGAGCCAAATAATCAAAGAAGGGTGACGTGGCAGCATCACCGTTTCTGGCTTATGTTCTGGCTAGTCTCGGTTCATTGATTTTTATTAAAGGTTTTGAACAAAATTTAAGTAAAGTCGATAAAATTGCAATATATACATAAAAAACTTACCACCACTAGAGCCGATAACTTCCACATCTTTGAATTCAATGTATTTCACTTTTATTATACCAATAACTTGTTTGTTATATCAGTTTATAGCTATGCACTGTATAAAATAATTCAATTCGTTTATTACTACAGACTCCTAAGGTTAGCGATAAAAATGTAAATAAATGAATAAACACAAATAAAAATATGCAAGTGTACACGATGCCATGGAAGAGTTAAAAACGATGTCATGAAAAATGTTGTAATGACCTAATATATAAAAAAAAAAGGCTGAAAGTCATATTAAATATCGGCCCAGCCAGGACTTCAGGCAATTTTTAAACATAATCGAGTTCCTTTTTCGAAAATTACATAGACTTACGATCTGATAGTCTATGAATATTACAGGTATATTGTTATGCATCAGATTTGCTACTCTTTGAAGATCATTTTTTGTCAGTATTGTGTTCACTTTTATATATACTTACATTTAACTATATAGACAATTGAACTATTGCACAGGAGTTCCCTTAAGTTTCTGAAACATTTCATTGGTGTTCCTCGCCACCAGAAACGTTGAAAACTTTTAACGCTTTTCATGACCAAATCCGCTGTTTTCTATGTGCCATGCTATGTGCCATATGTGACAAGCAACCATCGATGTTTATGTATATGCTATTTGAGCTTTATCAGTTCCAGTATTATAATACAACCAAAAACACTAATTGACTCGGCGGTACCATTTTTTTTATATATTCCTCGCTAAGGTATTTAGAAACTTTTTATTTCTTCCCCGTTATGCATATAACTCGGTTTATGTGTTATGTTTATGTTATTTTTTCAATGTTCCAAATGACTTAATATATAAAAAAAGGCTGAAATTCATATTAACTCATATGTGGTGCGGAAAAAAAATAAAGTACTATAAATGTATATCGTATTTTTTGCGCGTGCTCAGTATTGGTTTATTTCTGTTTTAAAACGCACAACATTTGCTACATGAAACTGGTTTAAAGCAATTTTTTGAGGTATGTTATCAAATTTCTCAACGTCACACGCGATGGACTACTCAAACATGGCGATCGACCGGTCGACGTGTTGGCCACCCCTGATCTAGTGATACGAGCAATCTGACTTTTGTCTACCCTGAATAGCTTATAATAAGTACTACATATTAATATTAAATAGGTAAAGAATATTAGTAATACGTAAAAACAAAGTAGAATTCATTGCCTAAAATCAAAACATTATCTTCTGGAGAGAAGTTTTACTAGACAGGGAAATAACAAATACTGCAATTACTGCTTGGAAGCATAAGCAATGACGATGGGCTCGCGTAGCATTATCAAAATATTGTTGAAAGTAGCAGGAAGTTATAATGGCGCTTCTATTTGTTCAATGTAATACATCTTGTTGCGTGAATCCATATTCTGATGGCGCACCACAAAATACCATACCGCCAGCACTTGCCAATTATATATAAACCTACTTATAGGCCTTTTAACCTGGACCAGTACCAGCAATATAATACATCGAAATACCAATCACATATAAATATCAACAAAAGCGATGAGTTGTTGCGGCATTAGGAAAAAAATATTATTACAAGTATCAGGAAATTATGATAACGTTTAACATGCTTTGCGGTATCAAATTTCGTAAAGTTCGCTGACGCTACAAGTAAACGGTAAACTTAATTTAGTACTGGCAGAAAATATGCCCACCCCTGCTCTATAGAGTCGATATTATCATGCTGTATTGCCTGTCCCACTATTTTTATCTGGACCTCCAGAAGTATGCGCACCAAGATGGCGCACAACCTGAATATAGTATGTGTGTACCGGTTAGGATTCAGGTTGTGCGACATCTTGGTGCGCATACTCATGAATCTTATACAATTATTACATTTTAGGGAAAATGGAGATCTACAATAACTTTTCTAACCTAATAGGGTGCGCACGGCACGTATACGTATCCGATTCTTCACTACGACAGGCCAAAATTATCAAGTTAATCTGATTGTCACTTAGAAACACACTCACCATTTTAACTGATAGTACCTTACCAACAGTCGCTTTTATAATCCTCCATACTGTCGGAGATCTGCACCAACTCAAAAGTTCATACCGTAGAAGGTTGGGGATCAAACGGAACAGATAGGAAATTGGGTGGTGGGGCAATAATCGGATATGAGCCTAGTCTTACTTAAGCTAAAATAAACTGAATAAAATAAAAATAAAAGAAATTACAAATTGAGTGGTGTGACAATCTACTGTCCATACTCGAACTAAGCCTTAGGGCAGCGGTTCTCAACCGGGGCCCTCAGCCCCCTAAGGGGGCCACAGAGGAGTTGGAGGGGGGCCACGAGGATGGGCTGAAATCTGAATTTACTTTTCACTTTAAAAGAAATCTCAGTTTTTCCTAGTTTGCTGCTTAACAAGGTTATTTCGCAGAGTGTTTTGGCTCTCTTTTGTGCAAATTGTTTTAACATAATGATATTTGGAATCTATCAATGAAAATAACCCTATCAATACCTCTGGAATATCAAAGTGGGGGCCATGAGTGCTAAAAGCCTCCGAAAGGGGGTCACGATTCATAAAAGGTTGAGAACCACTGCCTTAGGCTTTCTGAACTGTACACACACCCCAAGTTCGTTCATCATGTATTTATATTCAAAGAAAGCATGTCATGAATCTGTGGTGGGGCGATAATAGGATAATGCGTTCACCTAACTTGGTCTTACCTAACGTGCAATAAGCAAAATTTAAAAGAACACATCGGTAAATTAGTATTGGGTCAATGAAGTACAGGTCCAGAAAGTCCCTTTACAATTTCAATATTGTTATGAAGTCAGTTCTCAATATATCTTAACCAACTTTGTTGTTTATTAATCAGTAATTGTTTAAATATTTGTACCTCATTTAATACATCTGTGAGGACCAAAACAATATATGGTATCGATTCCTTTTGCAAATTAAATTTGAGACTTTATAGACGCTCTATTCAATATTCACACTCTAACTACACCTTAAGCTCTCTAAACTCAACCAAAACGGAATAACAAAGTGGCATCCGCGACTCTCAATATAAAAGGTGTATTACGAAACACCCTAGAATTGCCATACTATTAAACACGCATCACGCCCTGAAAAACGTAAACAATTATTTGTGCCTCTTTGCCTAAGGCAATAAGGAAACATATATGTACTTTATTTAAAACGGCCATCGAAAATAAAAGCTTTAAACGCGTCGCTTGTCTGGTCCACAATTAGCGAAAGATACCTTTTAGAATCCATGATAATCTGTGATAATTATAGATAATGACGTCATAATTATTCATTTATTCGCAGACGACGCTTCAGTTTGATCAATTTGTTAAGAATTTAGTCGAGTATCATGCTCGGCCAGATGGAAATAATGGCTTATATCGGAGATTTTGAGACGAGGTTTTGACTTTTTGAACGTGTGGGCTATATTTAACCTGAACGTGAACTGAAGGGACTCTTTATATGACTTCTTGAGTCTCTGACTATCTTTTCAATATTATTGTGATGTTATTCAAATATTTTCTCAAAAATGCGGTGCTACTATCGTATTCTGTGTTTGAAACATGTAAACTGCGGCCCGCGGGTAAATGCGACACGCAAGGATAAATTATGCGCCCGCATGAATGTAACCTGGTCCACGAAACGAGTTTTCAATTTAGTTGGATCTGGTACGAGCGAGTAATTCCCTTTGCGTTGCAAAGCCTATACCCGAGTCCAATTTATCAAAGTGGGTGTCACGACGCTCAAGTGCGTCGTTTCAAATTTTCTGGGGCGTCGCAAAACTCTCCTCGTTTGCGGAATTGTAAATGCGTTTCGTAGAAAAAGTCTAATTCTCGTTGGAATCACACTTGAGAACTGGAGAAGACAATAAATTTAAAAATTGTAACGTTCAACCTCAACTATGTGACCTCACTAATGTCACGGGTGATTTGATACTGTTCCAATTATGACATCACACACACCTGGATATGGCTGTTTCATCATGTCATTCATTTATAATTCTTCTATGAACAAGGACACATCGAGCGTTGTTAAGCAACGTTCATTGCTTTGGCTCAAGCGGATATTCAATATTAACAGCACGCATTCTTTCTTCAGGCATAATTTAAATAAAACTCATTGCAAAGGAGGTGAAATTGAAAGATATCAGAACGTTTTTCACGGGGAAGTCGCAACTTGAATAAAAATTTTTGATGGGCGTCACAAACTGGCGTATGCCATTAAAATGCCCTACCAGCTAGCCTGTGCAAAGCAAACAACGCATGTCATAAGATCAATAGCCAAAGATTTTGTGTTTGCGACTACTAGAAAGCCTGAAAGTATTGATAAGAACAAAACAGTAGCCAAAGTTTTTCACAAACCGAAGTTCAGGGAGAACCGGTTTTACTAACGGCTCAAAACCGGATTCCGGTCGCAATTTTTTCGGTTTTCAAAACCCTCGCGGCGCTGTCAGTATTCAAATGCAAAATGCGTCGGAAATGTATATTTCCAGACATTGCAAGTATACGTAATCCACGTGAATCGATGCTTCGTCAATTTGTCAATTATGATTGATTAGTTCTAGAGAACAATGCGGAAATAAATTGACGCAAAGGTCAAATGTCTATCACAATGCCAATTACAACCGGTTAAATGTTCAAAGAATTGTACCGGATGTCATATAAGTGTACCTGTGAACTAGAAAAAAATCAGCTAACTTTTCGGTCGACTCAAAGGAAATTTGGATAACAAAGTGACTAATATGCTTTTGCGACTAAGGGCAAAATTATGGGTGAAAGACAGGGCCTCGACCTGGATATTAAAAACGTGAAGGCGATGCTAAATATATGGACACGAAATCCAAAATGAAGTACTTTTTCTTCGGTACCTAATAGTATCAATAATTCTCTGAGTTTCGCGTATAGTCGCGTCAAAGCGGAAAACGCCGTCACGCTGGAAAAATTAAAAACCGTGTTTCGATTAAAAATAAAAATATAGCAAAATTTTGGATGTGATATCAGATCTCATACGATTCAT